GAGGAAGCTATTACAACACAACTAAAGCCTCTGGCCTAGTGGAGGGAATGGAGGCAGTGAGACATCTCCCAGTTCTAAAAACGTTTTCAATATAGAGCTAGTGGTTCCTGAGAGGGAAAGGAAGAAGCCAGGGATGTTCCAGCATCAGCTGCAAGAAAGGTGAGCTGGCCAGTGACTGGGATTCACGTGGGAAGGGTAGGGCAGGTAGCAGGCAAATACTTAGAGATCAGCTGGAGACCACGATGGTTATGATGGACAATTCGGTACTGGGAAGGCCGTTGGGGATATGACTTTGGGAAGCAGAATTCTAGGTTGCGATGACTCTGAGAGTCACATACATGAAATTGTAAAAATGGAAGAGACCCTGGTTAGGAATACAAATAGGTAAAAAAGAGACAAAGAACTAAGCCTTGGGGAAATTCATTACTAAGATGTTCTGGAGGTGAGAGACATAGAGCAAGAGCGACCCTGTAAAACAAGAGGGGGGGGAAGAAGATATCTGGAAGTCAGGAGAGGGAAGAATTTCAAAGAATAGCTATTTTCAATTATCTCCCAATGAGGTTGGTAAAAAGAGGCCTGGGCAAGTCATGGTGAGAAGGGTAGAGCTTACACAGGGTAAATTTAAGAAAAAAAGAAGAGACTTGAATATAAACATCACTTTCTAGAACAGTCTAAATTAAGTAGGCGATAGTATAGGATCTGGCTCTACTGGGAATTTTGGCAAATGAGGGCAGAGTGGTAGGTTCATCTCATTAACTAGAGGCAGAAGACCTGTGCACAGATTCAAGCTGGAAAATGTGTGACCTCCAGGACATGTCAGCTGAGAGTGAGGTCAGGGGATGTTTCTCTTGGGGTTGGAGGAGAGAAGAACTAGATGGGAGAGCATGGGAAGACAGTGGGAGGAGAGGATAGTTATGAGGTGGGGGGGCTTGGGGAGACAGTGGGAGCCTCAAGACTGGGGATGTGACTACTGTGCAGCCTCAGGCTTTCCTGAAGGAGCAGGCCATGAAGCTCAACTATGGCAAGCCAGTGTTTCCTCAAAGGCGCTGTTGCAGTTAACCCCCCTCCTCCTCCGTGCCTGCCTGTGAGGAGACTATATTGTCTAAATTACTGTAAATGCCTCTTGAAGAAAAGCGCTGTTCTATGCCATATGACAAACACCTTCACAGCCCAAATTCATCAACACAAGCAAAATGAGCCTCATTGCTCGGGGACTAACTCTGGAAGACAAACTAGAGAGAGAAAAGAAGGCAATACAGTGAACATAACCAAGGCCTTATCCATGCTGGGAGCCACAGGGGTTGCCTTCCTCCTGCCCACAGTCAATACCTGTTATACTCAGAACATGCAATGAGGTACACTTGACCTTGTTCACACACGCAAAATCCTAAGTGAATGCTAGTTTGTGCTGCCAAGAAGCTTGAAACAATGGCTACCCCACCTTGTGGTTAAAGAAGCCAACTCTGAAGTAGTGTCCTCATACTCTGCAAAGCGTAAAAGTACGGGCTGTTTTCTATATGCAGTTCTGGTACATGTTCTCTTTTACTAACAGCTCAAATAGTACAATATTTCAAATTGTAAAATAAAAGCAGAAAATCCCAGAATTTAAACGTCTGATCATAACTAAAATTAATCTTCTTATAAATTCTTAGATTGCACTGATGGCTCTTACATAATTAATTTTAGAATTATAAAGTAGATATGCAACATAACCCTCCTTACTTAAAAAACTAAAAATGAAAATGGTCACACATTGTCATAAACTTCTGCTGAAAGGAATACAAGATTTCACTGTTTAATCCTGGGATCCAGTGACAGAAAGGGAGAAATGATGAGCAAAGGAGTTAAGACTGGGTTGGTTTAACCCACAGAAATAGTTGACCTCAACAAGGGGGAGCGCTTGGACCTCAGATTGATGGCTGTGTGGAAAGCATGGGACTGATCCAGATCCCCTGAATGTGGGTGTCAGTGAGGAGGCCTAGGCAATCTATTGGGCCTTGGGTAGTAGATCAGTATTTATCCCTGACACAAAAATGAACTTTGGCTATCCATCCCACAATGAGAGATGCTCTCTCAGCCTGGACTCTTGGGGGAGGACCTAGACCCTGCCCTGGATGAAATGACAAACTCTGGAGATCCACCATGGAGGGCCTCACCCTCCCTGGGAATTGGAGTGGAGATTGGGTGGGGGACTGAGGGGCCTGTTGGGGAGGCAGAGAGGGAGAGGGAGCTGGGATTGACATGTGAAGCAAGCTTGTTTCTAACTTAAGAAAAAAAGGAAGATAAAAAAAGAAAAATTATTAAACTGTATATAAAAAATATTTCATTGTTTAAAATTAGTCTTCCTATACTATTTTAACTTTCATTGTCCCCATCATTTATACCATGTGAAGTAGTAAAGGAGGAAAAGGAAAAGGAAAATCTACTGTTGTACAAGTAGAGGCTTGAATGATGAAATACAGAAAAATCAAGTCAAACGTGCATTCACTGCTCTCTAGAGTGTGGGCGGTATCAAGGGAGAAAGAAAGAACAGAAGTGATAATAAAAAAAATGCCCTAACTTCATAAGGGCAGCAGTAATGCAAAATAAATAAATAAATAAATAAACTACATAAATTCCACATTCCAAACCTTCAACACAATGGGATTCACGCTGTACTAAAAATGAGAGCACATATTATAGGTGCTGTATGGGTTTACAGGCTCATCTCGACAAGGAAACGGAGAGCCATGCTAAGAAGACACACTGTTCATCACTCCATCGGAATCAGTGTCTGACTTCTTTAGGCTTCTGTTTATGTGCACACTTCCATTAGCGTTACAAAAGCAAAGGGGTCGCTGGGCTAACCATATGTTGCCATATCACCCCCATTATTCAGGCCAATGGTGTGGAACCAAACAAAGGAGGTTGTCAACCCTGGGCCCAGGCTGCCCTTCCCAGTCTCTTGAAACGCCACCGAGAGCAGGAACATTCCTCAAAGACTTAGTAAGTAATAACGCATATAGCTCTTGTCAGGCAGTCTTTCTTTCACTGTCTCACACCATCAGTCTGAAGGCAGAGAGAAAGGAAAGCTCTCCCTTCCCCCACATGCCACAAGGCAGCCAGAGCCTGGCATGACACTTGCCTATTTCCAACAGGGAAAGCGCTCCAACCATACAGGAGCAACAGCAGGAGGCAGAAAGGAAAGGAACAGTGTGAAAAGAAATGCAGAACCGTTTCGATGATTTTGAAATTTAAACTGTGTGGCAGCCTAGTGTCTCAGAAGAAAACTCTTACTTTCATTTCTGCCTCCTACTGCCACTCCGACCTTTCTTGGTTGGTGAGTCAGTAGGAGGCAAAAAAAAAAAAAAAAAAAAAGTGATTTTTTTTCTTTGAAGCACAAGACCAGTTAAAATTGTAAACTTCAAAATCACAACACGAACTACCTAATTTTTAGAGGTGTTCTTTATTGTCTTTGCTAGGAATGGTGTTTAATAGGAAACAATAGTGTCTCACCAGAGATAAGAGATGACACTGAGCTAGGTGTATCTAATACAGTTTACTTACAACAAACTTGATCATGTAACTTAAGACCAACGTTACAGATAGACTGGACAAAGCCAATCCTAAAAGCAAACGTGACCTTCTTCTAAATGGCTTTTCTCGATACACAAAACTCAAGCACAGAGAACAAATGAATGCAATGTAAGAGTATATTAAGAACTAATTTAAACACGGTCCTGTGAAAGACATCCTGATGGGTTTCAACTCTACAACTAACTGAGCTCTGGTGCATATAAAACATAGAGTTCCACAGGGAATTCAAAGCCATGTATCCTTCCCCACAAGAGTTTAGCTTAATAAGGAGATAAGGAAAATGTCCACTTAAGAAAAGGAAACAAAGATGCAGGAAATATGGAATAAAGATTGAGAACAACCATCAAGCTTCCAGGGGAAGACCTCAAGATCTGACAGCCCTGTGGCAGTGTGGTGTTTCAGATGGTCCTGGAAGGGTGGATCCGGTTTTGAAAACTAGAGAGCAGGAAGAAGGATTGAATGAAAATGATTGACATCATGGAAGCAGAAAGGCAGTCTTCTGTAGGTGGTACTTCTGAGCTATGCTCCTGGGAGAGGTCAACAGACACATTAAAACAAATGGAAACCACAGATTCAGCAAGTTCGAAGACCAATATGGGCACCACACAAACTAGCTTTGAGATTCAGTGCACAGAGAAGTCTCGGGAGACAATGGCACAGGCACCTCCTTACCACTAGCCCCAATCCATTCCACCACAGATTTCACTTGAAAGAGTCCTCAATGCCGAGAATAACCTCCAAGCAAACTGAGGGAAAGCTGGCAGCACATATGTAAGGCCTGCTGTAGAAGACCTCTCAAATACCAGGCTGAAAAGCAGCCAGCGAGAAGGATAATAACGAGAAGAAGCTGCCTCCGAAAAGGAAGCCACTGCATATGGGCTCTGCCTTCATGACAAATGCGGGAAACTCTTCAGCTGAATTTCACTAGGATGGACATTGTTTTACCATAACACCCTTTCTACTTCATTTTACATGACAAGACATAAGGAGTAACATAACAAGAGAACCAACATTTCCAGAGAGACAGAGACAAGGAATGGAAGTCAAGAGAAGTCAGCCAAAGCAGAGATACAAAATGCGGAGATACCAGTGCTGCGGGCAGGACTCTGCACCACCACCGCCACCACCACCTCCCATTGGAATCTGTAACCTACAAAATGCAGAGATATTCCCTATCCTGCCTTTTCCCCCCTCTCTAAGTCTAGCATTAACCCTCAAAGCCAAGAAGTTACTGAGATGAAATCATAAGTGAGAGGCGACCTCCTATCATGTTCTATGTGAAAACTAAGCATTATAAAAACACTTAGGAGCCATTTGCAACTTGGAAATTGCAAATGAACATTTTGCAGCTACTTGATTGCCGCTGTCAATTTACTGGAACATATTTAACAGAAACATGCACTCATCCCACTTAATTAGATTACCTGTGGCTGGAACTGAGGAACAGGTGGCCCTTGCATTCCTTGTGGTTGTTCATCCATTGTCCGGCTCAATGGGGACTTTAGAATCCTGCAAAATGTAAAGTTGAAATTTAAATAATGCTGTCATTACCAATTCATGCCACTTCCACAGCCTGACACAGGCATCCATACAGGCTAGATATGCATGATGCTTCAGGACAATTAAGACACCCTCCGCTTCTATTTCTGACACTTGCTAAATCCAATCTCTGTTTAGTCCACATAATCATACACTCTCTCACCATTTCCACTTCTCCGAAGCAGCAGCATGAGTGTAGAAAATCCCACGCTTGGGCTGCCTTCTGTCTTTTTGTCTTCTCTCTGATAAATGCCTTATGAACTTCTTACGAATTAGTTCTCTACTGTAAGTTCCCTTAATGGTATTTTCTAACACCAGGTTTATTGTGTAGACTGGTAAATCATCTGGAATTATATCTATGTAATGCAACAAAAAATTGTTTGTCCTTATGGATACCCAATTTCACTCTTTTCAAAGCATGCCCTTCGCCACATCGCACTGCTGCTCTCTCATCCCTGTCTTGGGTCAAATGACTCTGTCGACATAGACACACAACCGGCACTCTGTATTCACAGGGCTATGTCTGTTTGGAACCACAGAGGAGATTCCTTGGCTGGTATTAGTCTTTGAAGAACTCTTTACAGAACCTTCGGATTTCATTAGATGGAAGTGCTCTGTCGATGACTGAGAGTACAGGACAAGATAATGTATAGGTAACATGAAGCTATATGATGGCTTGAAATACATACACCCTAATTCATACAAAGTTTATCAAAGTACCATCACATGTTGGCAAAGCAGAGGATTCCAAAGTCAATCACCCACCAGTACCGTGACAGCCTGTATCTGCTTCAGCTTAGCTTTTCTTTCTGTTGAGAGGCATATTTATCTATGGCCTTTGGGTGTGGCTTAAGATGTGGAGGGACCCAGAAGGAGGGAAGCCTGAGTCAGGGCCACGGATCAGATAGGAAGGGCAGAGAAAGGCTACAGTTCTTTATCGTTATCTGTGTAAGTTGTTTCCCAATTAAACACCCATTTACCGTTTATCTTGGGTCTAGTGAACTCATTATCATCTGCCTCGGCCATGCTTTGCAATATAATGAACATAAAAGCAGGCAGATCTTTTTCATCTTAGGGGAAAGACATTAATAGTTTCAATAGTGTCTGACCATTGGCTGTTTGACTTTAACTTTTCTATGTATGGAAACTTTGCCTGCACATATGTAAGTACCACATGTGTATAGTGCTCATGGAAGCCAGAAGAAGGTATCAGACCCCCTGGGATTGCAGTTATAGGTGGAGTGAGTTGCTATATGAGTGCTGGGAATTGAACCCAGGTGCTCTGGAAGAGCAACCAGTGCTCTTAACCACTGAGCCATCTCTCTAGCCCAAAGCTGTTCATTTTTAATATGTGCCTTGATCTGCTTGCTTCATAAAGTTGGCTTTGATTTTTATGGATTATTGGATTTGAAGAGGAAAAGAGAGAAAAGAAGAATAAAGTAAAGATGAACCCTAACATCAAAATCACCATTTCACATTTGGCGTTCACAAATGGTTTCTTAAGACATCCTACAAAGAAACGCTTCTTTGTCAAATCTCTCTATAGTTTGCTATATTACATTCTTTCTGAGAGTCAGAATAAATACTAGCAAACTAAAGAACCCAAAGAGCACTTTCTTAAATTTGAGGTTATCTAATGCTGAAAATTATTATGTAATATTTGTTTTATCACACAGCTTGATTGATCCAGGAATGTACTGAAAAATCCTGTTAAGTTACAAAAGTGTTTTTACCACACACACTGATACATGACAACAATTAGGTAAGAACAAGTAGGAGAGAATGAAGACAAGGCAAAGGAACTCAGAACTCTGAAAAACGTAAAGTGACTGAATCAAATAATCTGTCTACAAACAACAGATTACCTGAAAATAAAAATGTATATGATATACTAAGCTCCAGCATCCAAGCAAAAAGAACAAAAAGCAACATAATTTTCTTTCCTCAGATACAACATGGTTCATTGTGTCACTGGGTGCTTTATGACTGTGTTTACTGTATATGTGCATGCATGTCCCTGTCTATGCACATGGGTATATGTGTACCACACAGCATGTCTATGGAGATTTAGAGGACAACCTTGTGAGTGGCTCCCCCATCTATCTTGTTTGAGACAAGATGCTTGCCAAGTTCGTTAGCCAGAACTTCTCCTGTCTTCTCTCTCTTCTCTTGCTGTGAGACCTCTGAGATTTTCTGAATTCTGGGGATCTGAATTTGGGTCTTTGTGCTTGTGTGGTAAGTACCATACCACTTAGTCATCTCCTCAGCTATTGTGTATTTTTACTAATCCTACGTAATTGAAGCAAAGCACATTTTTTTTTTTTTTTGGTTTTTACTAGACAGGATTTCTCTGTATTGTTTTGGAGGTTGTCGGTCCAGCCTGGCCTCGAACTCACAGAGATCCGCCTGCCTCTGCCTCCCGAGTGCTGGGATTAAAGGCGTGCACCACCACCGCCCGGCGCAAAGCACATTTTAATATGCAAAATATATTTAACACACATTTGATCTTCTATATTACAAAGTCCATGTTCCAGATGCCCATGTTGTCTACACTGCATTTATAATGCTTTGTTCAATGTCTGGAATAAATAGGTAGCTGAATGGATATTTAATGAATGAATACATATGTGCTTGTCACAAAGACATCAAGTGATTATTGATACTAATTAAGTATGTTAATGATGGAAAAATCATCAAATTCAACTAATTTGTAGTTAATCTTTAAACCACAAAGAAATCTGCGGTTAATAGAAGATGCTCAATGAGTTACATTTTAAATGACCAGCAGGAAAAATTAACAAGATTTAAATGCAAGCCAGTGAAAGAAAAAAAACACATCCAAATACAAAGCAAACAAACAAACAAGCAGCACATCTGTATGTAATTTCAAATTAAGGTTGGTGGGTGATGGAGGACTACTGTCAGAGCAAAGGATTGTTGAGAGAAGAAAGAACTTCCCTGTCAAGCCAGAGACAGAGGCAGGAGGACCTCCAGTCTGGTCTACAAGTGAGTTCCAAATCAACCAAAGCTACACAGTGAGACTCTGTTATCAAAAAAAAAAAAAAAAAAATAGATGTTCACTACTATGTTTGAAAGATAGTATAACAAGCAAGAAGTCCAGTTCACGGCCGGGCGGTGGTGGCGCATGCCTTTAATCCCAGCACTCGGGAGGCAGAGGCAGGCGGATCTCTGTGAGTTCGAGGCCGGGCTGGACTGACAGCCTCCAAAACAATACAGAGAAACCCTGTCTCATAAAACCAAAAAAACAAAACAAAAACAAAAACAAAAAACAAAAGAAGTCCAGTTCACAAGCTACTGCAAACCTTCAGCAAGACAAGACCCTCACTAGTCTCAACAGCACTGCATTCTACTGACAGCAGTGTGGACCCCACCGAGTCTTCCGTGATCTCACACCCTCTCTCCTATGGACTTTTTCACAGCTACCATTACTCTCTATCTTTAAACACTGGCTTATTCCAAAACTGGCAGCTTCTCTTAAAACTACACTTTCTCCTCAAATTAGCCTATAGCTTTGGTTTTGTTTTTTAATAAATCATAAAAGATGGTCAATTTTGGAAGACGTCAGTAATTTCATGAACTCTGAATATTACCCAAATGGGAACCCTGTCAAATTTGTGTCTTCACAACATCTTTCCTAAGCTCTGAGCTACAAATGCCTATAGCCAGCTGCCCACCTGGGCATATCCACCTGAACAGAGGACCCCATCTTTCGTGTCCCTATATTGCTGTCTTCACACGTGCTACTCTCTACTCACTTACTCTGGCCCACAACTTTTATTAAACACTTGTGTCTCTTGACTTCATTATTGGAGGATTCTAAATCCATTTGTTTATGTAGATTGCATCTACTTGTATTCTATATCCTGAAATTAAAAGAAAAGTGTTAAATGCATGCTAAATTATTTATAAACTATTCCACCTATATATAACATACTCCATGTTTACATATAAAATTTTTATGAAAAACTGCTACATTTTTCAAAAACTTAGTCACAAGAGAAGCATTACTTTACGCTATGCAAAGGTCTTTGATGCCCGTACTCCTTCATGTAGCTTCTGAATCTGTTGATGTGCTGTCTACCCAAACTATGTAAAACTAAGTAAGCGACACATATGCAGCTGAGAAGAAAGAAGCGCTTTATTAGCCATTTCCTGTCTCTCAGGGTACTCTCTGGGTATTTCATAGAACATCAGACCTGACAGAAGACAAACTCAGGTTAACTACAACATGGATTCTGCACACTAATCAGTTAACTCTTAGTCTCTGAAAATCCAGTTGTTTACCTGGCCCTTGAATAGATCTTTAACTCATAGATTTTGGTAACATTGTAACATCTGGAAATTTTTAACTCACTGAGCTAACTAAAAGCCTTTAAATGACAAACATTCCTTGCGTTATATTTTTAAAGTCTTAATTGTCAATATCACTACAGATTTTATCAAAGAAAGTTTTATCTTTAAGTATCAGAAAAACGTAACACAGTGATAAACACAAGTTTTCCAAAATTCTCACTTAAAAAATTTGAATTTTGGCTGGGCCTGGTGGTGTACACTTTTAACCCCAACACTGGGGAGGCAGAGGCATATACTCACAGCTAAACACTGAACTGAGCAGCAGGAACCCAGTGACAGGAACCCAGTGACAGAAATGGAGAAATGATGAGCAAAGGGGTCAAGACCGTGCTGGTGAAACCCATAAAGACAGCTGACTGGACAAGGGGGAGCTCTTGAACCCTACACTGATGACTAAGAGGCCAACAGGGGACTGATCCAAACTCCATGAATGTAGTGTCAGTGAGGAGGCCTCAGAGATCTCTGGGGCCTTGGGTAGTATATTAGTGTTCACCATGGCACACAAATGAACTTTGGGAGCCCATTCCACATGAAGGAATGCTCTCTCAGCCTGGACACATGGGGAAGGGTCTAGGCCCTGCCCTGGATGACATGAC